TATTCCTATATAGAGCCGAGAGAGAAAATTCCGATTACGAGAGGTTCTAAATCCACGTGGGTTTAGTTTACCTGAGCGAATCCCGACAGAAAGATCGATTTCAACACCAAAGATTGTAATCGTCTGTCGGTATTCCGCTGCCTAGAGTTCGTTTTCGAACAAAATCAGACCACTCTTAGTTATTTTGTTGAAAGTGATAAAACAAAAGTGATGTAACAGTGAGAGAAAAAAGAATGCCACTGGAAATCGTTAGAGATAATTCAATGCGGAAGAGCTTTATCGTAAGCGACTGGTAAAATATCTCATATCAACACGAATTTGAAAACAAAGATTGTAAAGAATATCTTTTGATGTATTAAACAAAAACAAAAAATCGTTTTAATAAAATAAAAAACGATAAATTTGTTTAAAAGAGTTCTTAAATTTAAATATTGAACATTAAATCGTCTGTTTTTACTTTATGTAATATAAACAAATTCGACATATACAATTTTATCTGTTAGTGAATAAATTTTTTAAAAATTTTTTGCGTTTAAATTTTAGCGTCCCACTCGAAAATCAACATGCTAACGAGCATATCGATATTATATCAGGTGATATAATCCTCAATTTTGTCGGAATTTGATTATATATATAGTAAAAAGTGCATATTCACAATACTGTTGGATATACATTAGTTCGTTTAAAATATGAAATAAATATATTAAAAATTGATTGTTCTTATTATTTTAATAAACTATAATAAAGTTACTAACTCGATCACAACCCACGTGAGAATGAATAAGTTAAGAAATATCCAATTTAAAGTGTTACACAAAGTCTCTTCAAGAGATTCTAAAAAATGTTAATCGTTAAAAACTACAAATACTATATTTATAGTTATCATACATTATTTAAGGATATCTCATAAAAACTTATCTGTATTTAGTTATCGCAACAAACTATTAAAATACAAATGCTAGAAAAAAACATAGGCTTCATTCATATTTTTATTATTATCATTGTAGGTTTTTTTTTTTCATATTATAAGTTTCATTTAAGTATTTTTTATGAAAAAAATTTTTTATAAATTGTATCAAAGTTATTTTCAAATTTGTTTCTGGTTAATAGGAATTTTAAACAAACAGCATAATAGGTTGTTAATAGGTAAATTATTTTAATAAATCAATACTTTATTTTATTTTATAACCGTCGTTGAACAGCCGACCCAAATTTTGGGTTTACGTCTACTAATGTTCAACTCCGCAGCCTTGCAATTTTGAACCTAATCCAAAAGACAATGGACCTCCTGGATCAAGTCTTGGGAGAAACTTGCCTTCGTGGAGACTTTTTGATGGAACTAATCCGAATTTGCGTTAGATGGAGAGGAAGACCACGAGAATCTCAAACGGTTAGCTTGACTGCGAAGGGTCTCTAACCCATGATCCGTTTACCACTGAGGATATTTTGCGTCAGCACTGTGATCAGTTGAAGCCGGACCGGATTCGTATCGACCAGCCATCGCTGGATTCGAACCCGGTTCACCTGATTGGAAGACGAACGCTCTATTCTCTGAGCCATCGCGACTCCATAAATCAATAATTGGAAAAAATTGAAAGCAGTGAAAATCGATGGTTAAATCTATGAAATTAAATAAAAATTTTTAAAAAAAAGGAAGTAACAGAATAACATCGCCAAAATTCAGAGTCTAAGAAGAATAAATATGCATCAGACACTAGAGATAATCCAACAATGTTTATAATTTAAAATTATTTAAAATAATAAAAATTCGTTACTGCATGATAGTTAAAAAACAAAGAGGTATCTAAAAGGAGAAAATTTCCACGACTACTAATCGTAAATTTGACACTCATTTTTTTGCTTTTTCAAAATATCTACGAAACCTGTGATACGTCGTAAATTTAAAATAGCCCTAATACAAAGTAATAAATTGTTTTATATGAAAATAAATTAGTATTTCTTTTACATCTGTACGTTTGTTGATTTCTGAGGCTAATGATCTTCAATATTACATAAAAGTTTCACATCAAAGTTAATAACTGTGGCAATGTGAATATTTACTCAGCTGCTGTTCTTAGTAAAACATTCGATCTCAGTAAATAACGATAAGTTCCAAGATTTTGAAACTATGTAGTGTCTACGATTCTTTAATATTAGCCGAATATATGATGCGTCATCATACGATAAAATAAAAATTTCTGATGGAATGTCATTTTTTGAAAGAAATCAAACTGCAAAACAATATAATTAACAAAAACAATCAGAAAAAAGGAATCTTTGTAGAAGTTTTCGTACATCCATTAACAAAATGACAAACAGCTTCGTCATGTTTCGAGCTCAAAAAATCAATAATGGAACAGAGATATTCAGATAAAAGCAATCACAAAAAATAAAGGGAAAAAAAACTTGTTAAATAAAAGAAGCGGTCAAAGAATTGGGGTCACAATACATAATTAAAGTGTGATCTATATTTTCGGCCAAATGACCATCAGGGCTATTTTCCCCCTCGGAGTTCTGTTCTCACGGGTGAAATGAAGGAGAAAATAGCGTGATTCGATAATGAAGATTTGAATAAAAGTTTTGAAAGCATAGAATAGCAGCCATCAGAAATTTATGATAAAAACCTAGATTTAGAAGAACAATTTCCTTCCTATGAAAATATCTTCTAAATTAGGACAAAGAATTATGTTAAAACATACTAATGAGGCAAATTTCATTGTTTGGACAGAATTAGTTAAGTGCTATGATATTTTATAAATAGATATCAATCGTAATTTTAATTGATTTGTTAAGCGTAAAAGAACATTTAGAACTACTATATCACCATGACCCAACATCGCCCAAATCGCGTAACGTGTAAGATAGTTTACTTGGGCACTTGCAAAAATTAGAAGACCCCAATCTTACAAGGAAACTGACTTTTGGCAAACCAGCTGTCACCAGGTCGCCCAACCTTTAGGTTGATGGACAATATAGAAAAAGATCTTATCGTGTTAGATTTATTTATATATTTATAGTTATAACCGTTGTTGAACAGCCGACCCAATTTTGGGTTTACGACTACTAATGTTCAACTCCGAAGCCTAGTAATTTTGAACCAATCCAGAAGACAAGGAAACTCCTGGATCTGTACGCCCAGAGGTATTGATTTGTTAGGGGAACATGGAGGACTTTGCGACTTGACAGATTTAACGTGCATCAGTCACCATTTACTACACGGGGAGTCTATAGCCGGCGGGGATCGAACCCATGAGCTCTTGGACATGGGCTCAGTGTCCTACCAACCAGGATATCCCGGCCATTATCGTGTCAGATGTCAGAAATTTTAGAACAGTCACCTTAAATAGGCAGTGACGGCGGAAGGTGACTAGGGTGAACTTGGCCTGTTCTAGGCTGTAGTGCCGAAGAAGAAGATTATTACTAAAATAAGCTTTATTGATCTTCTGAAAGAGAGAGAGAGAAAAAAAACGTTTCTTAAAAGTTATAAAATTATTTACTTCTGGTGAGAAAAAAAGGAAATAAATTATGAAAAATAGGCACGCCATTTCCTACATTTTTCCTTTTCTAACGAAGAAAAACCAAGAAGGAAAAAGTAATTCCAATACAGCTACATTCAAACGTCGTATTTTTAACTTTTCGACAATTTTAAATCCTGACGTAAAGCGTCATTTTTAACAATGGGTATCGAATATTTTTCAGTCGCTAGAAGTACAATCAGTCAAAGTTTTTGTCGTCATCAATCAAATGCCATCCTACAAGTCGATTTTTTTTTTCTAAATTCAGGACTTAAATAAAATGGTAATGTATCAAATCGATATGCTCATTCAAGAATCTGGAAACTGAAAGAAAGTAATAGCCTTCAACTAAGAGAAACTTATCTTAAACTCAATCTCAAATTTCCTACTATCGCAACAATCCCTTTCATGGAGTCCCGGTGGCTCATGAGATAGAGTGAGTGCTCGCTACGAAATGAGGCGACCCAGGTTCGATGGCTGGTCAATTCGAATTAAACTCCCGGTTCGCACCCAGCACTGGGTTGACGTAAAATGTTTGACGAATAATGGTAAGACCACCCTCACCATACGACTAACCGTGGGAGATTTTCGTGGTTTTCCTCCTCCTGTAACATAAATACGGGTTAGTTCTATAAAAGAGTCCTCCACGAAGGCTAGTTTATACCAATGCCGTATTCAGGAGTTTTCTTGTCAACTGGGTTGGGTTCAAAATTACAAGGATACTGAGTTTAACTTTGATAGCCGTGAACTCATATAAGTGAGTCGGCTGCTCTACACCGCTTTTAAAATAAAATAGAAATCCTTTCCGGGAGTTAAAGTGTCGAATTTTCCTGCGCAAATAAACAAACAGTTAAAAGCAGAAAAAAAAGTGTTCAGTCTTTTTAAAATTTTGCCTGATTTCCTAGATTTAAAAAAAAAAAATAAATAAATAAAATACATAAATATTAAACACAAAAAGTTTAAACCGTACGTTACCATATTTTTATTATGGAAATTATTGATAAAAATTATTTCTTTAGTATTTTTAAATGTTAATACATTTTCCGCGAAACACAGTTGGAATTTCCTTAGAAATTCTGATCCTTTTTTTTAAAACTCGTGTCGATAATTTGGAATTTATTGATAATCAATGAAAACTTTCAAACTAAAGACATTTTTTTCAACAAATAAATTAATTCAAAAATACAAAGTCTAAAAGGCACTTTTTTTTACGAAGTAACAAGAATAAACATATTTTGCTTTACATACAAGCACATATTTTCCATCGCTATGATGTGCAAGTTTAAAATCGGACAGCACCATTTATGCTTACATGGCGTATAAATGGTAAATAAATGAATCTATACCATCCATGTACAGTTCTATTTTTGTACGATTTAATTTGCATAAAATAAACATATAAATGGTACATAAATAGACACAGTTTATAGATAATGCTAATCGAATCACAATACATTGTCGTCAGTCATATGACGGAGAAAAAAATTAAATTTTAAAGATGGTCTATTAACTAAATTTAGCTTGACTTTTATTTTTTTAGTCAAGAAGAAAAATGATTGTTCTTTAAACTATTAGGCGACAAAGATAAAATAAAGTATTAAAAAAAAGCTATTTGCAGTTCAATGGTGAAGGAAAAATACATGAATCAAAGTTAGGGAAATAATTACTTACCTTTAATTTTTTATTCACCTTGCAGTAATATCGATAAACCATGGCCAAGTTTAATGGACCGAAATCGGCATAGAAACTATAAAAAGACAGAAAAAACAACGATTTTAATAATTTAAAGACGCTTCGTAATTCATACTGGCGAAGCATGGCGGAACATTAAAAAAAATGGAAGATCATAAATGGGATGATGCCACCAATCTTTCACTCTTCATTTCATTTTAATTATAAAGTTCGTAAAACTAGTCTCTATTTTTAATAAAAACTAAAAATATAAGCGGAATCATTTTTTTCGTTGTTTGAAAGATTAATACTAATATTAAGTAAATAAAGAAAAATATTTTTTTTATGTGATGGTGTTTTTAAATGTTATTAATGCATTTTCATTTACTGATAGTTATATTTTTTTTAGCCGAATTTACTGCTTCAATATTTTTTCATTTGGTATTTTTAAAAGAAAAAAACAACAAGATTTAAAATAATTCAGAAAAATTTTCTATTTCGAAAATAACCACTAAATTCAGAGTGATATTTAAATTTTAAAATATATATTTTGTAAAATATTAATTTACAAAAATATTAATTTACAAAAATATTAATTTATATATTTATTTATATACTAAAATATTAATTTACATATTAAGTGATTATAAATAAATCTTCAAAATAACAACTAATAAAAGAAATGCAGCAAATACGAAAATAATTAAAAATAAAATCCTACAAGAAAAAATGCCACCAAATTTATAAAAAAATGCTTTATTAATAGAATTTATTGTAAACATTAGTAAAATTCCTTTGTTAAAAACAAAATAAAATAATTTTTCAAAAATAATACCAATGACTCTTATTCTAGCGTAATACATGCTCTTTGTATAGTCAAAAAAAAATTAAAACCCTATTACAATAAAACTTTTAAGGAAGGTAACTGACTATCTTTTTGAAGCAGATTTTGACTTAAAAAAATAATTTTTCCGTTTTTTATATAAAATAAAACTATGAACTTTTCTTTTTTTAAAACTGTTCTTTTTGGACGTCAAACAGAACAAAAGTTATGATGATTTAAAAAATCTTTTATTTTGGCTATTACATTGATGATTACACGTTTTTTGTTTTTTTCCTCATAACTAATTTTTCGGTTCTTATCCTTCATTTTAAATATAATATCTAAAAATATTTTGGTTCGAATCTATTGAAATTGAGCACGAATATTTTCTATACATCTGCCTGGGGATGGGAATAGATTACGGACTAGTTGATTAAACTTTTATTTGATATTTTGCAGCTAAAATAAAAATAACTAATTCCATTGTTTGGCCTTTTTTGCTTTATTAAATAAGTTTTAATATTTGCAGTAAAATATCTAAATAATAATATGTCTAGAGTTAGTTATTGTTGTCGAGTCCATATTGCCATCGGTCATTAAGGCATAATGTTTCAAATTTTCATTTATTTAGATCTAGAGAAACAGTTATTCATCATTGAAATTTCTATAATTTACAAAATCAATTATTGATAAATTTTTGAATAAGGATGAAAGAAAAAAGTGTTTTTCAAATTGCTTTATTTCTGATTTTATACAGGGTTATTCATAATTCCCACCGGGGTTTCGAAGCGTTATAGTAAAAAAACAAAGACGAATATGGCAAAAAAGAACATATGAAATTATTCTGAAAGTATTCAAGTTTTAATTTAAGCAGTTGCCGGTAGATGGCAGTAACATGTACCACTGAAGCCCCTTTCAGACATCATACGCTTCGAAACCCCAGAGGGAATTATGAATAACCCTGTATTTTAGTACAAATATAATTCCGAAAATCTAACAAAGTTTTTAGTAACTACTAAACTGTTTTTTTTATATTTTAAAAATATCAAAATATATTTTTGCTTGTAATTAAAGCGTCAAAAAAATATATATGCAAAAGAGACACCGGTGTTCCATCTGCATCAAAGGGTAAAGGTGCATCTTTGAAATTTTTAAATCATAAAAAAGACGGGATGATTTTAGATCATTAAGGCAACAATTATCTACATATCATATCAGATTAAATTTTAAATAATTATATTGGATTTACAGAACACATTACTCCTCATATGAAATTATTCGATTTGGAAGAACTAATTTTTATTGCAAGAGAAAATAAAAAATATAATGCTAATTTTCACTTGATGAAACAATTATTTAAAAATAAATAAATAATTAAAAGACACTTCATATTAGATTCTAAAAGAAATAAGGCTCTTCTGGTAAATTTAATTAACAAATTCCCATATCATAAAATAAATTACTTGTTATATATGAATTCTTCATCTGTAGAGAAATAATGATGTGTAACAGATATTTTTGGCCTTTTCTTTTCAACTATGGTAGTAAAATAGAAACGATCTGGAAAGAAAAAAAAATAGAGACACTAAGTTTAATACAAAATATAACAGTAATATTTATGGCATAGCATTTAAATTATAATTTCATCAATACTTTCGATCAATTAAAATAATAGTAACGCGTTTTTTTATGCTTCAATCAGGGAAATATTAGTAATTAAAGCGGTTTAATTTTCAAAACTCTCGCTTCTTCGCACAAGGAAATGTTTTATACAAAATTGCCCTAAAAGCAAGACAGTTGAAAAGTTGAGAGAACCTTACAAACAATCAAATATGTGACAGGTGTTCGTATGGAATAGGCTAAAACGTGAAAATGAATTTGCTGTTATTTTCAAACTTTTAAGAACGCCTGAATTACCAGAATCAGTAGCTTTGAAAGTAATTGGCATTAAACGAAGTTTAAATGAGTTATTTTCCTTAATAGATTCACGTCAGGAGCACGTGTGGTAATCGAAAATTGTAATTTTACTGCTTTAAATTTTTTAAAATAGTATTTAACTAAGTATTAAAAAAAATTAATTTCTTAAAATTTACGTTTAGTACAAAAAAAATTCATATATAGATACTTCTTTACAATTTTTTTAATAAAAATATTAATTAGTTTGCATTAGTAACTTGTATACCCAACATTAACCAATTTTCTTTTCTTTTTTNACAAAACCAATTTTTTTTTTTTTTTTTTTTTAACATTTTAATTGACAACATTAACATTTGTTTAACAGTACACATTTTCCCCACTTTTTGTGGAAAAAAAAAGAAATGAATAAATAAGAATAATTAAATAAAACCCTTGAATTTCGTATGCTTAATAGCTTACGGTGCGTTGATTTTAGTTTTATTTATTTATATATTCGTTAAACTGTCCCTATTTAAGCATTGCTTAGAATAATGATATAAACTATTCTAGGCAAATCAAACATTAAGTTGTTAATCGTAATATTCGATTTAAAAAAATAACCAACCAAGATTTCTCAAATATTTTAATTAAGAAAGTGTCAGATTCATAAACCAATATTAAGAATAATATCCATGCATACCAAGTGTTTAATTGTTTTGCTCGAGTTTATTTCGAAGATCAAGTTAACCTTTACATCCGAACGATTAATCTCTGTGTAAAAGAGATGTTTATACAAAACCGTTATTGAAATTCAATCCAACTAGTTATTTTCAGTTTCTCTTTTATTATTTATGCATTATCTCTACACTATTTTAGGTTCGCAAATTTCACTTATTAAACTGAAACGGAGAAGAATAGCGTTTTGGCATGCTTGAGCGACTTCAAAGGCAGATGCTCCGTTTAAGTTTCAAGCTCGATCACCGTTTCGCCAAGCGTGCAAATGGCAACATGTTTCGATTGCAAAATTAACTAAGCCATTAGTACTATCAGACCCATCCCTTTAATCGACAGTATACGGCGTGACCTTCAGAAACATTTGCAAGGTCACTGATAGTCGGAGCCTAAATTGAGAAGGCGAAGAATCAATGAGTTAAAAAAAAAACATGCATCTCTCTATTTTCTTTTTTATCCCTTGTCTTTCTTACCATTTTGACAATATCGCTTTTGTTAAAATTGGGAGCTCTATCAGCGCGTGCTAGTTTTCACTGAACTGCGAAAGATTTCGAGTAGCACTTCAAAAAATCAATTCTAGTTCCAAATAGAATCATTTTTGGAATTGAGAAAAAATTTATGTTCTATTTATGGAAAGTATATAGATGAAAATTTAAAGTTTTTTTTTGTTTAGAAGAATATTTTGAAAAATATAACAAAAAAAAATTTAAAATAATACATGAATTAAGAATAAAATTCAAATACGATATAGAAAAATTTTTTTAGTCATGAAGAATTATGTTTTATTTAACGAAACTATGAAATTTGAAATACATATTGTTTTTGTTTTGTTTTAAAAAATTACTTGAAAAATATGATTGATAAAAAAATATTATTCAAAAGCATAATATATGAGTTATGAATAAAATCCGAGTTTGAAATAGAATAATTTTTGAAGTAGTTAAACTTAATGCTTAATTTATAGAAATTATTAAGACTAAAGCATAAACGTTGTTCTGCTTTGTTCAGAAGAATAATTTTGAAAATACGATAGACAAAAAATATTATTATTAATAGGCATAATATAGGAATTAAGAATAAAAGCAGAATTCAAAATAGAACAATTTTTTGAATAGTGAAAGATTTATGTTCTATTTACATAAAGTATAAAGATTAAATTTAAAATTTCGTTTTGTGTTTCTTAAAATTGTTTGAAAAATATGAGACAAAAGAAAAATTACTATTCAAGAGCACATGTGAAATATAAATATAAGTCGAGTATGAAATAGAATCGTTTTTGGAATTGTGAAAAATGAATGTCCTATTAATAGAAACTATCATGGATAAAATAGAAATTTTGTTTTGTTTTTATTAGAAGAATTATTTGAAAAATAAAGACAAAAAACTATTGTTCAAAATCCTAATGTATAAAATTATGAATTTTCGAAAGGCATTCGAGGTCAAATGATAGTTTTAAATCAAGCCATTTGAAAAGTTTATGTCTGGTTTTATTCATAAAAGTATTAGAAATATTTACCCTATAAATTATGCTTAATAAATTTTTTTTAGTAATTTTTTGTTTTCCTTTTTTTTCTAATTCTCATACGTCCTTGCCCACCAGTTTTGTTTCTTGGTGTTGAACAAATTAATTTAAAATCAAGCAAATGAGCGAATCTATGAAGAGCATTTATAACCTTCATTTATCTTATGCTGNTCCTTTTTTTTCTAATTCTCATACGTCCTTGCTCACCAGCTTCGAAATCAGAATTTTGTTTCTTGGTGTTGAACAAATTAATTTAAAATCAAGCAAATGAGCGAATCTATGAAGAGCATTTATAACCTTCATTTATCTTATGCTGATGACAGCCAAAGATCATTATCTTTTTTGTACATAAAGAAATATTTTTTTTTTTTTGCATCTAAGAAGAACCTTCAAACTTTCTTGTATTAGATAAATATACTTCTAATTGTTTATGCAAATGGGATACCTGCAAGTGAAGTAATGTGGGTATCTCGATACAGATTGCTTGTTGAACCGTGACCTTCGTTTACGTTAGCAACTGTTCTTTCCATTCTATTTCGAGCAAGCTAAGCCCCTCAAGTATCAATTCTCTACACACTCTATATTTCAATTTTCTACACATTCTGTATCAATTCTCTACCCATTCTATATTTTTACAAGATGATTCTTTCACAAAGATTTAAATTTTTTTCACTATATATTTCTTACTTAACGCAAAGACAATGTTCGTCATATTTTGAACTGATTAACATTTAACGAAAGACATTTTACCTTAATTATTTTTCAACTGGACTTGTTTCGACCATTTTAATTTTGCATTTTTTCTTACCTATTTATCTTTTCCTTTACCCTCTTTTTTCTCTCTTTAATTCCCTCTTTGTTTCGTCTATTATTTTTGATTTTTACCCCTATCCCTGTTCAATGAATTGACGTGATACAGTGTGCGACACTGTATCACGTCAATTCATAGCGCATAATTCGTTGAAGCGACAGTTCATCGTGGACACGATTCGATAAATTGCCGCTGCGACGAATTGTCTCACGACAAATTGTAAACCAGAATTAACTCACTATAAACTGTGTGCGACGAATTGTCACCACGGCGAATTGTGCGACGTGGTCCTTCCGGAAAGCTTTACTTAATATAGTTCAATTATTAAATATAATTATTTATGTACATCTGTTCTTAAGATACAATAAAAATGAATATTTGTGTTCTATATCTAATACAAGTTTATTCCCGATGGAACAGCATTTAACTGGTAGAAAAAGTCAAAATTCCAATTACCTTCTATAAAATTATATTAATATCTTTTCAATTATATTTCAAAAATAAATAAATAAATGTTTTACTTGTAATTATAATACTGTGGAGCAAATGCATTTTTTACCGACTTTTCTTGTGCAGAGATATTGAATAAACAAGTCTAATGATTAATCAATTTAAACTAACGAAAACGCAGATGCATTAAATTAATTATGCCAAGAAACTAAAGCGGTAAGATATTACTTAATTAAAAACTTCATTCGCTTCGAAAATATACAAAATGGAAATAACAGTCGTCATGTTTCGAGCGCTCAAAAACAGGCGCTGATTTTCAAGACTTGCCAGACCTGAATGAAAAGAAACAAGGGTGATTTGAAATGTAAAACGAAAGTTACCAACAAAAAATAAAGGTGAGAAAAAAACCTTAAAAAAAAAACCATAGTAGCCGAGAGAGAAAAATGTGAAAAACATATTGTATATTTTTAAAGCAAATGAAGTTTTTTAATCAAATAATTAAGATGCATGTTTTTGTTCGAAGCTGTAGCTTCATGAGTTATCAAATTCCAAATCGCGAAATATTTTTAATAGTTCAACAAAACACAGAAAAGCTGAGCAAACCTATTAAACACTATTTGCGGTTGAATTTTCCCTCCACAGTGACGGCTACAGTTACCATGACGATATTTATGTCTCACTATTTTTACGCGTTCGTTCACTTTTTTCTGAGAATACGGAGCTCTGATTAATGCTTACCTTTTATTTTCTTTTTGCACTAGTACCGAACGACTTTTTGGAGAGAAATGACAGGACTTTGTTACGTCAAAGTAGGTCGTATTGATCGAATTTAAGAACCTTGAAGAGACGGCAGCCGCAGAATTAAAAGAACTTGACCCTAATATATCTGAACAATGTTATAAAGAGACAATGATAATGTGAGTTATTTAAGGAAAGAAAGACCTGTAAACTGTCGTTAAACAATACAAAAGAGCATAAAAGCTGTTACCTAAAAGGGTAATGTGGTATTGTTTACAGAGGAATAAGAAATAAAAATTCACTCCAGTCTCGGCGACAATAAAAGCATTATTCAGATGTCACTGTGACGGTTGATTAACTTGTATTATAAGACAAGTTTAAGTTTATATGCGTTCACGTAAACGATATCTT